ACCCAAAAGTAAGCAGAAAGGAAGAAATAATGAAGGTAAGAGCAGAAACAAAGTGAAAACAGAAAAACAATAAACAGTAAAGCAAAAAGCTGGTTCTCTGAAAAGATCAATAAAACTGACACACCTCTCTAAGCAAGACTGACCAAAAAAAAAGAAAGAAAAAGAAAGTACAAACATAAATTACCAACATTAGTGATGACACAGGCTCTAAAGATATCAAAAAAGATAATTAGGAATTACTAGGAACAACTCTACACACACAAATTTGACAACTTGGGCAAAATGGACTTATTCCTCAAATAACACAAATAACCACAACTCACCAAATATAAAGTAGATCATTTGAAAAGCCCTACCACTATCAAGAAAACTGAATTCATAATTCTAAGAATCCTGAAAAAAAGAAATTACCAGATCCAAATGAATTCACTGGATAATTCCATCAAACATGAAAAAAGAATTAATTCAGACTCAAAACAATCTCTTCTCGAAAGCAGAAGAGGAACAACCTCCCAATTCATTTTAAGAAGCTATTATTAGCATGATATCGAACCTAAAGACAGTACAAACTACAGAACAATATACTTTATATATATACACACAAAAATATTCAGTGAATTGGCTGGGCACAGTGGCTCACGCCTGTAATCCCAGCACTTTGGGAGGCTGAGGCGGGCAGATGACGAGGTCAGGAGATCGAGACTATCCTGGCTAACACGTGAAACCCTGTCTCTACTAAAAATACAAAAAATTAGCTGGGCGTGGTGGCGGGCGCCTGTAGTCCCAGCTACTTGGGAGGCTGAGGCAGGAGAATGTCATGAACCCGGGAGGCGGAGCTTGCAGTGAGCCAAGATTGGGTCACTGTACTCCAGCCAGGGCGACACAGTGAGACTCCATCTCAAAAAAAAAAAAAAAAATTCAGTGAATTATTAGCAAGTAGAATTACACAACATATAAAAAGAATTACACATCATCACCAAGTAGTTTCATTCCAGGAATGAAGTTGGTTCAACAGTCAAAAATCAATGTAACCCACCCTATTAATAGGCTAAAGAACAAAAATCGCATGATTACATATCAATTGATTTAGAAAAAGCAAATGACAAAACTCAATACTCATGCATGATAAAAATCCTCAGAAAATAGCAACAAATGGTAACTTCATCACCTTGATAAACAGCATTTACAAAACCTTAAGCTAAAACCTATGCTAACAATGTCAGAAAGGGTCCTCCGAGACCTACTTTACACAGCAGAGAGAATCATTAAGAATGATGTAGATAGTCACTAAGAGTTTACTGTCCCAAGAGATTGCAACACCCAATGGCCAGCAAGCCCTTTTCGTTAGACAAAAAGGAAAGCTGTCATCTGTCAACACTCCCAGAAGGTTCACTGTGAAATGTGCACTTCTGAACTCCTGCTGAGGGCCTACACACTGCAGTGTTGAGATGCAAGTGTCCAGAGGTCTTCTTGGAAACATTGCAAAAAAAAATGTGAGGGACTGATGGATGAATAGAGGCACGAAAAGGTAGAGAGAGCTGTGATAAAGCACATGGGGTAATGCCAGCGGCACAGTCTTAGGTGGTGAATATGTGGGTGCACACTGTAAAATTCCTTCAACTTTTCTGTATATTTTTTTCATAATAAAATGTTGGAAAAAATAAATCTGTGAAAAAGGAAGCGTTAGTCAAACGTGTCTAAGGAAAAGAATACACAAGTTCTAAATTCCTATGGCTCCAATTAATGTGTTTTTCTTTTTAGGTTGAGATGGAAGAGCAAAAAAGAAAAAAAGGAATGAAAGTAATAGGAGCTATTACAAAAGATACAAATTCCACTTGCAGTTTGATTAAAAATGACGTGACTCAAGAATAGGCTTTTAATCCAAGCTCCTTCAAGGCTGCCAGGTAGATAGCTGGTTCTGCCAAAGCTCTGAACCTGTGAACAAGCAGAGCTTCCAAAGAAAACCCTCTTCATTAAAGTCACCCGGAGTCAATAAGCTGGGCTTTAATCTGAGAGAGAAAGGTATACTTTTGGTCTAGTTACCCACCCATAACTGTAGGTACTTTGATGCCCAGGTGAGGGGAAAGAAGGAGAAAGGCAAAACAACAGATTTTTAAAATCACATCAAACAGTATGTGCCAGGCACTGAATTAGGAGCTTCAAGTGTATTATTTCATGTCATCTGCACAGCAACTCTCTGAGTAAGGACTTTCACTTATTTTATATATATAATTTTAATTATTTACATTATATTCCTTCTTTTTTTTTTTTTTTTTTTTTAAGACAGAGTCTCGCTCTGTCACCAGACTGGAGTGCAGAGGTGCAATTTCTGCTCACCGCAAGCTCCGCCTCCCAGTTTCACGCCATTCTCGTGCTTCAGTTTCCGGAGTAGCTGGGACTACAGACCCCTGCCACCACGCCCAGCTGATTTTTTTGGCTAATTCTTTTTGTATTTTTAGTAGAGACGGCATTTCACCCCGTTAGCGAGGATGGTCTCGATCTCCTGACCTCGTGATCCACCTGCCTTGGCCTCCCAAAGTGCTGGGATTACAGGCATGAGCCACCGTGCCCGGCCACTTATTCCTATTTTATACATGAGAGGCCCAAGGTGAGACGAAGTGATTTGTGTGGAGTCAGAGATAAAGCCACAATTGATACCGTGACAGACTGAAAACCTTCTCTGCCAGCAGATCTAGAAATGGTAAAGGGGTATCTCCAAACTGAAGGAAAATGACACCAGAAGGCAGCTGGGATAGAAACAAAATCTTATGGGCCCAAAATGGTAAACATGTAGGTTAACAGAAAATACTTTTGGCCAGTCGCGGTGACTCTTTGGGAGGCCGAGGTGGGTGGAGCATCTGAGGTCAGGAGTTCGAGACCAGCCGGACCAACGTGATGAAACCCTGTCTCTACGCAAAAAATACAAAATTGGACAGGCATGGTGGCACATGCCTGTAATCCCAGCTGAACCAGGAGAATCGCTTGAACCCAGGAGGCGGAAGTTGCAGTGAGCCAAGACCATGCCATTGCACTCCAGCCTGGAGCCTGAGCAACAAGAGCAAAACTCCATCTCCAAAAAAAAAAGAAGCCGGGCGCGGTGGCTCACACCTATAATCCCAGCACTTTGGGTGGGGGGGAAGCTGGATCACCTAAGGTCAGGATTTCAAGGCCAGCCTGACCAATGTGGTGAAACCCTGTCTTTACTAAAAATACAAAAACATTAGCTGGGCGTGGTGGCATGAGCCTGTAATCCCAGCTACTCGGGAGGCTGAGGCAGGAGAATCGCTTGAACCCGGGAGGCAGAGGTTACAGTGAGCTGAGATTGCGTCACTGCACTCCAGCCTGGGCGACAGAGCGAGACTCGATCTCAAGCAGGAAGCTGTGGTCAGAGCACTGCCCCACGGCTCAGGCAGTGCAATACCATTTGAAAGTGGACAGTGGGCCGGGCACTGTGGCTCACGTCTGTGGTCCTGGCACTTTGGGTGTTCGAGGTGGGTGGATTGCAAGGTCAGGAGATCGAGACCATCCTGGCTGGCATGGTGAAACCCCGTCTCTACTAAAAATACAAAAACATTGGCAGGGCGTGGTGGCGGGCACCTGTAGTCCCAGTTACTCGGGAGGCTGAGGCAGGAGAATGGCAGGAACCCGGGAGGCGGAGCTTGCAGTGAGCTGAGATTGCGTCACTGCACTCCAGCCTGGGCGACAGAGCGAGACTCCATCTCAAAAAAAAAAAAAAAAAAAAGAAAGTGGACAGTCACAAGTTAAACATGTATACTGGGCCAGGCGTGGTGGCTCACAAAGTCAGGAGATCGAGACTATCCTGGCTAACACGGTGAAGCTCCGTCGCTACTAAAAATACAAAAAATTAGCCAGGCATGGTGGTAGGCACCTGTAGTCACAGCTACTCGGGAGGCTGAGGCAGGAGAATTGCATGAACCCAGGAGGCAGAGTTTGCAGTGAGCCAAGATTGCGCCACTGCACTCCGGCCTGTGCGACAAAGCGAGACTCAGTCTCCAAAACAACAACAACAACAAAAAGCCTACCACATTATTGATCCATTCTACTCCTAGGTATAGACACAAAGAATTAAAAGCAGAGACTCAAGAAGACACTTGGAAACCAATGCTCATAGCAGCATTACTCACAACAGTCAAGAGATGACAGCAACCTGAGTGGCCACTGATGAAGGGATAAAATGTGGCTTACATATGTAATGGACTACTATTGAGCCTTTAAAAGGAAGAAAATCTTGACACATGCGGATGAACCCCAAAGACCTAAGAAGTTCAAGAACCCAGTCACAACGGGACAAATAGTGGCTGATTCCCCTTAGAGGAGACACCTTGAGTAATCAAATTCTGAGACAAAAGTAGAACCGCATTTGCTTGGGGGCAGCAAGGAGTTAGTTTCATGGATACAGAGTTTCAGTCTGAGAAAATGCACAAATTCTAGAGATGGATGGTGGTGATGGCTGGGGAACGATGTGAATATACCTCATGCCGATGAACTGCACACATAAAAATGTTTAAAACGGTAAGTTTTATGGTATGTGTATTTTACCACAATATTTAATTTTTTTTAATTACATTTAAAAAAATTGTTACCAGGCAGGGTGCATTGGCTCACGCCTGTAATCTAAGCACTTTGGGAGGCCTAGGCAGGCGGATCACGAGGTCAGGAGATTGAGACCATCCTGGCTAACATGGTGAAACACCGTCTCTACTAAAAATACAAAAAAATTAGCCGGGCGTGGTGGCGGGTACCTGCAGTCCCAGCTACTCGGGAGGCTGAGGGAGGAGAATCCCTTGAACCCGGGAGGTGGAGCTTGCAGTGAGCCGAGATTGCACCACTGCACTCCAGCCTGGGCGACAGAGTTAGACTCCGCCTCAAAAAAAACAAAGCAAAAAAATTGTTACCAAAAATACTAATAATCCATCCAAGTTATTTAGATAAGGAGCATCAGATTAAGCTTTCCTAAGTGTCAAAACACAGAAGATTACCTGGTTGCTTGCCCCATAACCAACTGTCCAGAAGTGACTTCTGCTGTACACAGGTGCAGGAGTTTCTTCTTCATCATTTTTCTCTTTGTCATCCAGATCTTCTTTGTTCCACTTTGTTCCACATTATCACCTGCAAAAATAAAAAATTTTTAATCTGTAACCGCTTTTCAGAATGTCATACCATTAGTCAGTCTCTGCAAATGTCCCTCCCCGAAAAGTTACAACACACATCATTAACTGAATGTTTGACAACTTAAAAATAAAATACATCAATCATATCTGTTACAGATCCAGTACAATTTTCATAAAGAAACCAATATATCGGCCGGGAGCGGTGGCTCACGCCTGTAATCCCAGCACTTTGGGCAGCTGAGGCTGGCGGATCACGAGGTCAGGAGATGGAGACCATCCTGGCTAACACGGTGAAACCCCGTCTCTACTAAAAATACAATCAGCCGGGCATAGTGGTGGGCACCTGCAGTCCCAGGCACTCAGGAGGCTGACTCAGGACAATGGTGTGAACCCAGGAGGCGGAGCTTGCAATGAGCTGAGCTTGCGCCACCACACTCCAGCCTGGGTGACAGAGCGAGACTCTGTCCCCCCCCCCCCCAAAAAAAGAAACCAATGTATCAAATTACTTAAAGCATTTCTTCCAAAATGATATTTCATTTACTTCCTAGTAGATTTCACAACTGAGAAACTTAGTCTTTGATATTCACCTACCTCAATTTCACACCAATTGCTTTATCCAGTGTGGGCCAATGCTTGTGTATCCATGGGGAAAGGGAGGGTGTAGAACAGGAGCATAAATCAAAAATCTTTTAACTCCTTACGAGGCCCTACTCCACTGCCAACTGAGAAGCACTGCTATGCAGGGGCGCTATCACTGAGAGCATAACTCAAGAGCACTGGGACACAAAGGAAAAGCTGAGAACAATGACTTCAGGCCACTGACAATGTGAAGTTTCCGTCAAAACAACTGTCATGACTCCTTACATAGTAAGCCAAGAGGAGAGAGAAGTAACCTTAATCTTGACGTGTAAACACGCTCCATCACACAAGGCTGTTACTAACCGTCTAAACAACATAATTAGAAAAATGTATCTAAATCAGTGGAAGACATGATATCCCATCCAGATTACAAATAATGAGTGTCTAAAAATCTCTAAGGAAACAGTTCCTCTGTTTACAACACTTCTGACACCAAATGGATGGACTTTTGCACCAGGTAATTCTCCAGTTCTCTGGGACACCCAGCTATGTGTCCCACAGTGCAATTCAATTCTGAAACTACCTACCTAGAATTAGCACAGACCCCACAGGTTAATAACAGGAGAGAAAAGGTACAATGCTGAAAAAAATATCCAAAGAACTAATGGCTGAAAACTTCCTAAGTTCAGCAAACGTAGGCAGATTGAAGAATAAAAAAATAAACCTAGGCAGATTGAAGAATCTGTGCAAAGCCCACACACCATAAATCCAAAGGAAGCCATGACTAGGCACATCATAATCAACTGCTAAACACTAAGGACAAAAACCTTTTGAAAAGTGCCACAGAAAGTAGATATAGAAGAAGGTATTGTGTGGCCTGAAATGAAGACTAAATATTACGTGCTGCCTTGACGTCGGTAAAATCAAGAAGGCCTCAAATAGCCTAACCACAAGGTCTCCTCTGAGCTCTGCTCCCACGGATAAGGTCCCAAAGCCAAACAACCCTCCTTATCACAGACAGCCGACCCCAGCCTGCTCATCCCTGCCGGCCCAGAGGTATTCGAACAAGCCAATCACATCTCCCCACGGAAGCAAGGTCATCTCACCCTCTTCTTACTACAAAATGTGCCTCCCACAGCCCCTGGTGGCTCACTCTGTTCCCAAGTGCAGGCCCCGTGTGGCATGCGGTGTCCCCCACCTCCAGGGCTGTGAGCACGCGTGACTAATAAACTGCTATTTCATCTGTCCAGTGTCGGTGTCCTATGTTCAGCCATCCCATATCCCTAGGGCAGCAATCTTCTGGGGTTATAAACAGAACTTTAATCAACCTTTCCTTGGTTATTTTACTGGTTCCATGATACAGCTTTTTCGTGCAAAAGATCTGAACAGAAACTTCACAGAGGATATAAGAGTGGCAAAGAAGAACGTGATACTCAGCATCATTAGCCATTACGGAAATGCAAATTTAAACCACAATGAGATCCCACTAGACTTGTTAGAATGGCTCAACTAAAAATCACCGATAACACCAACAGCTAACTAAGACACAGAGCAACAGAAACATGACAGATTGCCAGTGGGAATGCAAACTAAAACAGCCACTTTGGAAAACAGTTCAGAACATGACCCAGCTTTTCCACTACTAGGTCTTTATCCTAGGGAAATGGAAACTACATTCACACGACATCTGTACAGACATGCTCATAGCAGGAATACAATCGCGAAAGAAAAATGGCGACAACCACAAAGTCCTACAATAGCAGAACGGATAAACACAACGTGGTACATCCAAATGATGAAATACTATTCAGTAATAAAAAGAACTGTTAATACACAGAACAGCAGAGAGATCTCAAACATATAACTAGAAATAAATGAAGATGGTTTCAAAACATTACTTAAAATACAGTTCCACTTACATGACATTCTGAAAAAGAATACCCCATCCTGATGGAGAATAGATCAGTGGTTGCCAGGGTACGAGGCCAGGGAATATGTGATAAAAAGGAGCAGCACAAGGGAGGTTTTGTGGTCATGAAACTTCTCCATCCTGATGATGGCGGGGGTTACATGAATCTACAGAGGTCAAAATTTCCTGAACGAGATACCACAACAAAATACATTTTATATAACTTTTTTAATGAAAAAAATGTTGGCTAGGTGCAGTGGCTCACATCTGTAAACCCAGCACTTTGGGAGGCCAAGGAAGGTGGATCACAAGGTCAGGAGTTCGAGACCAGCCTGGCCAACATGGTGAAACCCCGTCTCTACTAAAAATACAAAAGTTAGCCAGGCGTAGTGGCTCACGCCTGTAATACCAGCTACTCGGGAGGCTGAGGAAGGAGAATTGCTTGAACCTGGAAGGCGGAGGTTGCAGTGAGCTGAGATCACGCCACTGCACTCCAGCCTAGGCAACAAGGTGAGACGGTATCTGAAAAAAACAAAAAAAAAAGTTAATGGTTCTCATTAATATTAAAGTTTCAAAGAAATTCAACAAACATGTATTTAACATTCAGCATATTCAAAGCCCTTTTATACTAAAGTAAAAAGATAACTTCTAAAAAAACCTATCACACCCATATAACTAATCTATGCAAATCAGGCTTTGGAAAGGGTCAGAGAAACTATCTAGGTCCAGGGGCTGGGCGCGGTGGCGCACGCCTGTAATCCCAGCACTTTGGGAGGCTGAGGCGGGCAGATCACTTGAGGTCAGGAGTTCAAGATCAGCCTGGCCAAAATGGTGAAACCCTGTCTTCCAAAAATTAGCTGGGCGTAGTGGCAGGCACCTGTAATCCCAGCTACTTGGGAGGCTGAGGCAGAAGAATCACTTGAACCTGGGAGGTGGAGGTTGCAGGCAAAGAATGTGGCACCGCTCCCCACCCGGGACGGCCGGGGGAGGATTCATCACAAAAAAAAAAAAAAAAAAAAAAAAAAAAAGAAAACATCTAGGTCCCGGGAGGACAGCTGGAATATAGTCTGGTAGAATCATGCCAGAGCCGGGAGCGGGATCCGGAGGGCTGGAGTAGCGCTGGCCCCACCCTAGGAAAGAACTAGGAAATGCATCCTGGGTGAAGCAAGAGCAGAGCCCCATTCTGCAACACGTAAGCATTTATCCTCATCTGAGCAACTACATACAAATTTAATATGTCTCGCTTAGCCTGTTATTTTCCTCAGCAACCTGGAAAATGAGAGAACAAACAATTTAGAAGGTTAAGGCATGAAATACATTTAATTCAGAAATCCTTCACAGAAAGGTAGGAAATAAATGGGGGGAAAAAGCAGCTAATGAAGTGTGAAAATGGGCCAGGTGTGGTGGCTCACAATGTAATCCCAGCACTTTGGGAGGCCGAGGTGGACGCATCACTTGAGGTCAGAAGTTCGAGACCAGCCTGGCCAACATGCTGAAACCCAATCTCTGCTAAGAATACAAAAATTGGCCGGGCGTGGTGGCAGCCACCTCTAAATCCCAGCGACTCAGGAGGCTGAGGCAGGAGAACTGCTTGAACCCGGGAGGCGGAGGTTACAGTGAGCTGGAATCTCGCCACTACACTCCATGCACTCCAGCCTGTGCAACACAACAAGACTCCATCTCAAAAAAAAAACAAAAAAAAGTGAAAATGCCCTAACATGTCCTCCACAAAGCATGTGGCCTGACAACGAAACATGACCCTTTTCAATCTTCACAAACAACCTGGAAGCAGGCAGGCTTTGCTGTCTCCAGTTTACCAAGGTAGACACCTCAGGTCCCGGAATAGAGTAGAAGCCAGCCAGGAACACAGCTCAGCTGAGAACACAGGTGCTGGCTCTAAATGCCTGACTGCCCTGTGTGTGTGTGTGTGTGTGTGTGTGTGTGTGGTCACTAACCACAGCTCAGGGGCCAAACCCAGCCCACAGCCTCTTCATGTATGGTCTGAAAGAAAGTATTTTACTTTTGTTCTTTTGAGACAGAGTCTTGGCTCACCACAACCTCCTCCTCCCAGGTTCAAGTGATTCTCGTGCCTCAGCCTCAAGTAGCTGGGATTACAGGCATGCACCACCATGCCTGGCTAATTTTTTGTTTTCAGTACAGATGGGATTTCACCATGTTGGCCAGGCTGGTCTCGAACTCCTGACCTCAGGTGATCCGCCTGCCTCGGCCTCCCAAAGTGCTGGGATTATTAAGTGTGAGCTACCACGCCCGGCCACCGTATTTTATGTTTTCACGATTCAAAAATCATCAAAAGAAAAACAGTATTTTGTGACTTGCAAACATTCTGTGAACTTCATCTTTTGGTGTCCATAAATAAAGTTTACAGAATGATCTTCCCCTGCCCACAGATGTAGTATTATCTGTGGCTGCTTTGGCACTATAGCTTCAAGGGCCCATGGCTATGACAGAGACCATATGGTCCATTGAGAGCTTAAAATATTTACTATCTGGCCCTTTAGAGAAAGCATGCCACCCCTACCCTACATCTGGCTACAAATTTTACAAATAAAAAAATGCAAAATTCTTTAAAGTCAGTACACTGGAACACTGGTCATCTCCCTTCTTCAAGATGAAAAGCTTCGACAGTCACCAGGAAGCAGACAAGAACCCTAAGTACACCTCAAGTGTTATTCTCAGGAGCATAAATTAGAACACTTTACAACAGCAAAAGCAGGATGAAGTCACTGAAGGCCATGAAAACAAGAATAATTAGCACCACCAGCTCAAAGATCACACCACATCAGCTTCAATATTTGTCTACTCTTCCTTTCACTACTGTAGGGTTCAAGGTATATATAGAGAAAATTGAACACACATTGCCCAAAAACATTGCTTATAGAATGTTGGAGAGAAGGGAAGGAAGACCTCCCACTGGCTAGGTATGGTGGCTCACGCCTGTAATCCCAGCACTTTGAGAGGCCAATGTGGGAGGATCACTTCAACCTAGGAGTTCTAGACCAGCCTGGCCAACATAGCAAAACCCCATCTCTACTAAAAATACAAAATTAGACTTGGCGCAGTACCTCATATCTGTAATCCTAGCACTCTGGGAGGCCGAGGTGAGAGGATCACTTGAGGTCAGGAGTTGGAGACCAGCCTGGCCAACATGGTGATACCTTGTCTCTACTAAAAATGTGGCTCACGCCTGTAATCCCAGCACTTTGGGAGGCCGAGGTGGGTGGATCACGAGGTCAGGAGTTCAAGACCAGCCTGACCAACATGGTGACACCCTGTCTCTACTAAAAAGTCAAAAATTATCCAGGAGTGCTGGCGTGCACCTGTAATCCCAGCTACTCAGGAGGCTGAGGCAGAGAATCGCTTGAACCTGGGAGGTGGAGGTAAGTGGTGGCGGGTACCTGTAATGCCAGCTACTCGGGAGGCTGAGGCAGGAGAATTGCTTGAACCCGGGAGGCAGAAGTTGCAGTGAGCCCAGATCACACCACTGCACTTTAGCCTGGGTGACAGAGCGAGACTCCATTTCAAAAAAAAAAAAAAAAAAAAACTTAGCCAGGTGTGGTGGCAGACACCTGTAATCCCAGCTACTTGGGAGGTTGAGGCAGAATCCCTTGAACTCGGAAGGCGGAGGTTGCAGTGAGCCGAGATGGTGCCACTGCATTCCATTCCAGCCTGGGCAACACAGTGAGATTCTGTCTCAAACAAAAAAAAAGAATGGAATTTGATATGTATAAATCTACAAATATTTTCTAATAATAAAAAACACACAACATTCCACACTAAAAATAAAAACATTTACTAAATGCCAAAAAAAACACCCTAAAAACCCTAATCCGTTGGGATCTATGTAAAGAACAATTATGCTCTGCTTTCTAACCATGATTTTTACAAGAACAAAGGACGAAAAAATCATCAAACATGGGCCGGGCATGGAAGCTCACGTCTGTAATCCCAGCACTTTGGGAGGCCGAGGTGGGCGGATCATGAGGTCTGGAGTTCAAGACTAGCCTGGCCAATATGGTGAAAGTCCGTCTCTACTAAAAATACAAAAATTAGGGCCGGGCGCAGTGGCTCACGCCTATAATCCCAGCACTTTGGGAGGCCAAGGCAGGTGGATCACGAGGTCAGGAGATCGAGACCATCCTGGCTAACATGGTGAGACCCCGTCTCTACTAAAAATACAAAAAATTAGCCGGGTGTGGTGGCAGGCGCCTATAGTGCCAGCTACTTGGGAGGCTGAGGCAGGAGAATGGCGTGAACCTGGGAGGCAGAGCTTGCAGTGAGCTGAGATTGTGACACTGCACCCCGGGCTGGGAGACAGAGCCAAACTCCACCTCAAAAAAAAAAAAAAAATTAGCTGGACGAGGCGGAGGGTGCCTGTAATCCCAGCTACTCAGGAGGCTGAGGCAGAGAACTGCTTGAACCCAAGAGGCAGAGGTTGCAGTGAGCCAGGATCAAGCCACTGCACTTCAGCCTGAGCGACAGAGCAAGACGCCCTCTCGAGAAGAAAAAGTACAACAAAAAAATTCATCAAATGTAATGAATAAAACATATACTTTGGATTTTTCCATGTACTTAACTTTTCATTGAGTATCTTTTGCAACTATTCTTTCACAGAAAACACTTTGGGAAATGTTTTAATTCATTAACAAATCAGTATTTGAGGACTAGGAGGAAGAGATTAAAAGTTTTAAAAATATAATGAATTACTGACACGTGCAAAAAAAAAAAAAATGGTTGCTGATTCCTGTCAGGGAAGGCACTGTCACATGGACACTGTCAGCCTCAGCATACAGAGGTCCAGAAAGGGAAAATTTCAAGTCAGATAGAATTCTATACATACACCATTGATTTGGAACCTTCAGCCCTCAAGATCCTAACATCATGACCTCAGTTTCAACACAACTGTCCTTAGTCCTTGTATTGGTTACAAATACAAAACAAACAGCTCAACTGAACTCACTCTTGGCTCTCCAGAAACACAAACACAAGACCTCATAAAATGAGTGAGTTTCTCTCGGCCGTAATTACTGCAACTGACTTCTCCCATTTTCCCCTCCACACTTAACTAACAGCTCAAATACTATCCGTAACAAATAACAGTCATCATGACATGGTTAGGAGTGTGGCAGATTTCTTATCCAGTAATAATACAAAAAACATTTTGCCTATTAATAGATCTCAAGGGTAGTGCACTCGCAAGAAACTAATTAAAAGGCAGCCGTGCACAATCTACAAAAACAGCCATAAAGACTGCTACCTTTTTCTGTCGCCCAGGCTGGAGTGCAGTGGTGAGATCTCGGCTCACTGCAAGCTCCGCCGCCTCCCGTGTTCACGCCATTCTCCTGCCTCCGCCTCCCGAGTAGCTGGGACTACAGGCGCCCGCCACCACGCCCGGCTAATTTTTTGTATTTTTAGTAGAGACGGGGTTTCACCGTGTTAGCCAGCATGGTCTGGATCTCCTCACCTCGTGATCCACCCGCCTTGGCCTCCCAAAGTGCTGGGATTACAGGCGTGAGCCCCCGCCCCCGGCCAAGACTGCTACATTTTAAGTTAGAGGAGGAAATAAACCTGCTCCTCTAACATAGAAAGATACAACTAACTTCCCCTTACATGCCCTAAAAAAAACAACCTTACACGAGAAATTTAAACATGGAAGCAGAAACACGCCAAGAAAAAGACATGGCAAACCCCACCTGTGTCTCTGTTTTCACCCATTTGGAGTCAAGGCGAGCCTGGGCAGCCAAACAAAGATTCAGAGGGCAGCTTTTCTCCAGCGTCCTCCCGGTTCTCAGGCCTGCAAGTAAACACACATGTTTAAGACCGAACGCTTTTTAATAATTTACAAAGTCACTCCCGAAATGTTTCATGCAGAAAAAAGAGAGAGCAAGACAGAACAGCAAGAGGGGAGAGAACAGCTGGGGGAAGGAGTGAGGGGAGAGAGGGAAACAGGGAAGAGATGGAGGGGAAAGGGAGGTGGGGAAGGGAAAGCCTCCTTCCAAGGTAAGCAGGGTGGGCCGGGTTTCCGCACCACGCTGGCGAGACCTTGAGAATGGAAGGTCACAGGAGGCCAAGTCACAATGTCATCTGCCCTCAAATGCAAAAGGTACACACAGACGACAGGAAACCCACCGTTTTAACGGACACATGAAAGCAGCATTTACCCCACAGCAGGGCGCGTGCGTGAAACAAATTACTGAAAACGACCGCCTGCAGAAAAACCCACAGCCACCACCACTTAACAGATGGAGAGAGGCCCGAGACTGCCCCGCGGGCTATCCGCACAGGCCCCGGTGCGGCCGCCGCGCCCACCCCTGCCTCCCAGGCTCCGCCGCCCGCCAGCCCCGCGCCCGCACCGCCTCCGCCATCAGATGCCCCGGTGCCCCAGGCCAGGACCTGACAAGCAGAGCCGGGCGGCGTGGCCCCGCCGGCGTCCCGACACAGCGTCCCGGCAGCCGCCGGCTCAGCCCCGGACCCCAGCGCCTCTAACTGCCCTAGCGGCGGGCAGAGGGGAGACTCCCGCGCCCCCCCCCGCGCCCCCCCGCGTACGGCCAATCGCAACGAGGCTGCTCCGCGGGCGCAGCCAATGGTGAAGACGAGCGCTTCGCCGTCCTCCGGGCTCTCCCGCTTCCCGCAATCCCGCTTGTCTTCCTACTTGGAGCTCACCGTCTGAGGCCAGGGTCAAGCGCCGGCGCCGGAAGGCGGGATTTCCGTCGCACTCACCCACGCCCCCACTCCCACGGGAGACTGCCCAGCCGGGAGCGCTCTTAATCACCCCGCGGGTGGTCGCGCTCACAGCAACTGGAGCTATCCAGGGCGCCGGTCGAGTGGCGAGAGCAGCTGTCCTGGGGTTTAGAAGGAATCTGTGTGTGGTTGGCTGGGGAGTGAAGAGTTTCCTCCTGTGTGTTCCACTGAATGCAGCAGAAGTCGTGGGCAGATTACCTGGAGCAGCTGTGGAAGCACTGTGCAGGGAGTCCAAGAAGCAACAGACCTCCAGCGACCACAAAACACAATTGAAGAAACATGCAACAATATAGGCTGGGCATGGTGGCTCACGTCTGTAATTTTCAGGGCTTTGGGAGGCCAAAGTGGGAGGATCCCTCAAAGCCAGGAGTTGGAGGATCCCATGTTGCCAGACTGGGCAACATAGCAAGACCCTATCTCCAAAAAAAAAAAAAAAAAAATTAGCCAGGTGTGGTAGTGCACACCTGTGATCCCAGCTGCTCGGGAGGCTGAGGCAGGAGAATCGCCTCAGCCTGGGAGATCAATGCTACAGTGAGCTGAGATCATGCCACTGCACTCCAGCCTGGGCGACAGAGTGACATCCTGCCTCTAAGAAGGAAAAAGGGCATGGCGGTCACGCCTGTAATCCCAGCACTTTGGGAGCCCGAGGCAGGTGGATTATTTGAGGTCAGGAGTTCAAGATCAGCCTGGCCAACATGGTGAGACCTCCTTTCTACTAAAAATACAAAAATTAGCCTGGTGTGGTGGTGTGCGCCTGTAATCCCGGCTACTTGGGAGGCTGAGGGAGGAGGATTGCTTGAACCTGGGAGGCGGAGATTGCAGTGAGCCGAGATTGCACCACTGCACTCCAGCCTGGGGGACAGAGGCTGCACCACTGCAGCCTTGACTTACCAGGTTCACTGGTTCTCAACCTCAGCCTTGCCAGTAACTAGGACTGCAGGCACAAGCAACCACGCCTAGCTGATTTTTGTATTTTTTGTAGAGACCGGGGTTTGCCATGTTGCCCAGGCTGGTGTCGAACTCCTAGGCTCAAGTGATCCGTCCGCCTCTGTCTCCCAAAATGCTGGGATTACAAGTGTGAGCCACTGCACTCGGCTAATAGTAATGAACTTTGAACAGAAGGAAAAGATGTTATTATTTACTTAGTTATGTTTTATCTGTATTTTCTAACTTTTCTAAACATGTAAAGATGAAATTCTATTAAAACTCAGTAAGACCTCAGAACAAAAAAATTAGAGTATAAATATTTATTTTAGTTGTACAAACATGGTTTCTGGAAAAAGAATGGAATAGATTTTCTGAGAAAAAAAAATTCACTTTGGCCGGGTGCGGTGGCTTATGCCTGTAATCTCAGCACTTTGGGAGGCTGAGGCGGTGGATCACCTGAGGTCAGGAGTTCAAGACCAGCCTGACGAACATGAAGAAACCCCCGTCTCTATTAAAAATACGAAAATTAGCCAGGCATGGTTTCAGGCGCCTGTAATCCCAACTACTCAGGAGGCTGAGGCTGTAGAATCGCTTGAACCCAGGAGGCAGAGGTTGCAGTGAGCTGAGATCGCACCATTGCACTCCAGCCTGGGTGACGAGCAAAACTCTGTCTCACAAAAAAAGAAAAGCCGACTGGCTGAAAGGATTAATAAAGAAAATATGATCCATCAATGTGCTATCTACAAGATAAACATTTCAAATTAAAATAAACAGATTGAAAGTAAAAGGATACAAAGATACAACATTTAAATAGTAAGCAAAAAACCGCCTCTAATATCAAGTAAAATACACATTAATTTAAAGCAGGGCTGGGCATGGTGTCTCACGCCTGTAATCCCAGCACTTTGGGAGGTGGAGAGATTACTTCAGCCCTGAAGTCAAGATCAGCCTGGGCAACATGGCATAATCCCATTTCTACAAAAAATACCAAAATTAGGTGGGCATGGTGGTGCCCACCTGTGGTCCCAGCTATTTGGAAGGCTGAGGGGGGAGAATCATGTGAGCTGGGGAGGTCGAGGCTGCAGTGAGCTAAGATCAGGCTCCTGCACTCCAACCTGGGCAACAGAGTGAGACCCTGTCTCAAAATGAAAAAAATAAAAAAGGGTTGAGAGGCAATAAAGGACATCATTTTTTCTTTTTTATTTTTTTTGGGATGGAGTTTCGCTCTTGTTGCCAAGGCTGGATGGAGTGCAATCGTGTGATCTCGGCTCACTGCAACCTCTGCCTCCTGGATTCAAGTGATTCTCCTGCCTCAGGCTCCCAAGTAGCTGGCATTACATGTGCAAGCCATCACTCCTGGCTAATTTTTGTAGTTTTGGTAGAGATGGGGTTTCATCTTGTTGGCCAGGCTGGGTTGGAACTCCTGACCTCAGGTTATCCGCCTGCCTTGGCCTCCCAAAGTGCTGGGGTTACAGATGTGAGCCACCGTGCTGGCCAAAACCTTCATTTTCAAAAAGGCTGGGTCAGGCATCATGGCTCATGCCTGTAATCCCAGCACTTTGAGAGGCCAACGCCCATCTCTACCAAAAACACAACAATTAGCTAGGCGTGGTGGCATGCACCTGTAATCCCAGCTACTCGGGAGGCTGAGTCAGGAGAATTGCTTGAACCCAGGAAGTGGAGGTTGCAGTGAGCAGAGATCGTGCCACTCCACTGCAACCTGGGGGACAGAGAGAGACTCCATCTCAAAAAATAATGAATAAAGGCTGGGTGCCAGCTGTGGTGCATAGGCCTAGTTTGGTGACTCCTGTAATTAAGATACAAAACTCTGAAGAACAGTGGGCGGGAGCTTCCCTCTAGAGGCACAGGACGGGCAAGCTGGTCCCTGAGCAGTGACTTTATAATAACTTGTTACACTGTGTTTTTTCTTTTGTTTTGTTTTTCATTCGGTTGGTTGGTTGTTTGAGACGGAGTTTGGCTCTTGTTGCCCAGGCTGGCGTGCAATGGTGTGACTCAGCTCACCGCAACCTCCGCCTCCTGGGTTCAAGCGATTCTCCTGCCTCAGCCTCCCAACTAGCTGGGATTACAGTCATGCACCACCACGCCTGGCTAATTTTGTATTTTTAGTAGGGATGGGGTTTCTCCATGTTGGTCAGGCTGGTCTCGAACTCCCAACCTCAGGTGATCAGCCCGCCTTGGCCTCCCAAAGTGCTGAGATTACGGGCATGAGCCACCGCAAGCAGGCTTTTTGTTTTTTGTGTTTTTTTGGACAATCTGGCTCGGTCGCCCAGGCTGGAGTGCAGTGGCGCGATCTCAGCTCATTGCAACCTCTGCCGCCTGAGTTCAAGCACTTCTCCCACCTCAGCCTCCGGAGTAGCTGCGATTACAGGTGCACACCACCACGCCCAGCTAATTTTTGTATTTTTTTTTTTTTTTTCTGAGACAGAGTCTCGCTCTGTCACCCAGGCTGCAGTGCAGTGGTGCGATCTCAGCTCACTGCAAGCTCCGCCTCGTGGGTTCCCACCATTCTTCTGCCTCAGCTTCCCGAGTAGCTGGGACTATAGGTGCCCACCACCATGCCTGGCTAATTTTTTGTATTTTTTTTTTTTTTTTAGTAGAGATGGGGTTTCACCATTTTAGCCAGGATGGTCTCGATCTCCTGACCTCGTGATCCACCTGCCTCGGCCTCCCAACATGCTGGGATTACAGGCATGAGCCATCGTGTCCAGCCTAATTTTTGTATTTTTAATAGAGATGGGGTTTCACCATGTTGGCCAGGCTGGTCTCACACTCCTGATCTCAGGTGATCTGCCCGCCTTTGCCTCCCAAAGTGTTGGGATTACAGGCATGAGCCACCGAGTTCGGCCAGGTGCCTGATAACACTTGAACAAAATGAACCTGTTACTTCATTTTTCCCCACTGCCAATCACCTCCCCCCACATCTTAGACCATCACACTTCCCTAACCTAGAAACAGCCCTCAGCCTTATCTCCAGGGAGATAAGGATTTGAGCGCTGTTCTCCCACCTCCTCACTTGGCGGTCTTGTGAATCTATCTTTTTTCTTTTGCAAAACCCATGTCACAGTGATAGACTTGCTGTGCACAGGCACAATGGACCCTGACCTGGCCAGTGACGCTGGACAGCCACGGCCGCGTCCACACAGCAACTGCTGTCTCTTTCCTTCTGCCTTCCAAGTCACACAAAAACACCCCTTTTGACCAACTCTTCCTCTGGGAGGCTTCTCCTCAAGGGGCACCAGCACTGATGGGGAAGCCAGAGACAGGCAGCTCAGGATGGGGATGAAAAGCCAGGAATGTGGAGGCCGACTTTTGTTCGGCCCTGCTCCCTTGGATAGAGAGGCTGGAGCCCAGGGCATCAGATACGGGTCTTGGGACAAACCCTTGGCCCAGGAAAACAGAGCTGGATGAATCCTTGAACACCACGAGATCCACCATCTCACTCCCCAGACTCGAAAGTCAGGCTCTGACTCCTGCTGTGGATTGCTGCAGGTCCCGGGCCGCTAACTCCGCTCTCTCTGGCCAGCACCACTGCAGGCTGGGCCTCAGCTGGTGGAGAGAACAGGGCTCACCCACTGCGAAGGGAATTGCAAAAAAGGCACACAGCAGTCCTGGGCAGAGCCCCGGGCCAGGACGTTAGCCAGTTGCACAGCAGGGAAGGCACCGGTCCATCTCCACAGTCATCCTCCTCCTGGGCACCCTTACCAAAAGGCACTCCTCAAAACAAAATAAGGCCAGGTGCCGTGGCTCATGCCTGTAATCCCAGCACTTTGGGAGGCCAAGGCGGGCAGATCACGAGGTCAGGAAATCAACTGATCCCACTTTTCT